AATTTCAGGAACCAAAAAGTATAAAAGCGCCCAAACATCGGAGCTATCAGCAGCAGAGCCCTGCGCAAGCGCGAGGACAGCACCGGCTGATGCGGCGTCGAGGTCCCTGCGCAGTGCACGCTCGTAGAAAGCGTCAACCGCCGCAAAATGAGCGCTGCCAGCCGCAGTTGGCCAACGGTCAGCTGTGCGAAATTGCGCGCAGTTTTTTAGATGTTCCCGCACTTGTTTTTGACTGCAAATCCCGGTGAACTGTAGTCTACGGCGGCTCTCTTAGGACGATTTTTCTTCCTCGCTTTCGTGCGAAGGCTCCTACAACCCGCAACCGATGCATAGACCGGCTTTTGTGTTTGTCCGACGCACCTTCTGCAACCGCCGTGTGCTCGTCCTAAACTGTCACGGGAGGGTTCGGCGAGCACTTCAGATCGGGATGAGCTCGTCGCCCGCAGGCTGCGCCGGCGCTCACCGGACGCCTCCGAGGAGCAGACGCAATGCAGCGCGCAGCCTTTAGCTGCCCCTCGCACCTGCCACTCCATTCCGCGGGGGCAGCCGCTCGCAGCGTCCGTGGCGCGCGCGGGGGGGCGGGTTGTCGTGCGAAGCATCGCGCACCTCGTCGTCTACGGAGCCACCAGCAGTGGCGAGGCCGTGTGCTGCGACGCCACGCTCGTTTCCCCGCTAACTCGCGCTGGCCGCCCCGTCCCCGGTGCCGATGCGTGGGCGGGAATCGCCGACGCAAAGTCGCGCGCTACCCGGAGTTGACTCGCGGAGGGTCAAAGACTTGTCGTCCTCGTGCAGAAGTCGGAGTCAGTGCCAGCAGTTCCTCCGCACCCTCCTCCGGCTCCGTGTTCAACGCGCCCCCGCCACCCCTGCGTGCCTCTGCTTCGCGTGCATGGATGCGCCGCTGGTAGAGTCTGCTGTCGGTGCCCTGCACCGAGCTGTTGCCAGCTCCGCGCGCTTGGAATCTGGACATGCCGCCGCTGCCTGGCGCGCCAGACGCGCGCTCCCGCTCGGCGACGTCTTCGACATAGCGATAGTGAGTGCCCCGAGCCGGCTCGCTTCGCTAGCACCCGCCGTAGGTCCCCGTCGCGCAGACGCAACAAGGTGCGAAAAAAATGCATTCCATGTATCTTGCGAAAAGCTTTTTTTATGGCACATTTAGTACCTCGTCAGGGGTTCAGAATGATGCCAACTAGGTTTGGCGAGAGATTTCCGAGGAACCGCTTTCGATGTCTTCAAGAAAGTAGTTTCTCGGGTTTGAAAAGCCCGTCGAGGCGCCGTGGCACAGCACCGTCACGTGTGTGCTGCGACCGTCGGCCGTCACCGCCTGAGTTGAGTGTCGCTCCTTCCTTCTGTTGCTGATGGGTTATCATGTTAGACTTCCTGGGCATGCCATTTTTTCGCCGGGCTTCATTTGTTCTGCTATTGTAACAGGGCAACAAAGTTTGTTACAACAGGGTTTCTGTTGCGACAAGGCTGGCGCGACCAGGTCCATCATATAGCATTGCCGCTTGACAAAGGTTTGTAACAAAACCTGCGCGACAAGGTTTTGTAACGCGGGGGGTGGGGGCCCGCGACAACACGGGGTATTGACCCATCCCAATTGTAGAATTTCTAGTAATTAGCATAATATTTTTCATCACAAAACTGCGACGGCATATTTAGCAAAGAACTTCGTCGCACGTGCGATGTTGTAGTGGAAGGAGCAAACCTTTCAGCCAGGGTTTGGAGTAATTCCCCAAACAGGTACGGCTTGGGGTTCTCTCCTCAGAAAAAAGGTGGGCCGCGGTGGCTGGATGGGTGGGCCGCGGCGACGGGCCTGAGCTCCCATTGGGCTCCCTTCATGTTTCCTTTTTGGGCTCCTGGGTTGGATGGTTGGGCCGCAGCCACGGGCCTAGGCTGCTCTTGGGCTGCTGGTTGGATGGCTGGGCCGCGGCAAAAGGCCTTTGGACTCCGTCCATGTTTCCTTTCTGGGCTCCTGGGTTGGACGGCTGGGCCGCACAAGGGCCTGGGCTCGCATTGGGCTCCCTTCATGTTTCCATTTTGGGCTCCCAGTTTGGACGGCTTGGCCGTGCAAAGGGCCTGGGCTTCCATTGGGCTCCCTTGATGTTTCCTTTCTGGGCTCCTGGGTTGGACGGCTGGGCCGCATGAGTGGCCCCCACAAACAAAACATTTTGGTCACGGCATTCTTTTTTTTGCAAAAACAAAGAACGCTTCTTTCTCGTGCGGATGTCATCACCCCAACACGTTCCAACTTGAACCTGCAAAAAGGAACATACTCTGTGCAACTATGAGTGCCCACCACAAACAAAACCTTTTGGTCACGGCGTTCTTTTTTTGTAAAAAAGAACGCTTCTTTCTCGCGCGGATGTCATCTCTACCCATTCTTCTTGTGCAAAAATAACCTATATGTCTAAACAAGTTAGGTTTCAACACATGCCAGTTTGAACCTGCAAGAAGGAGCATATTCGGTGCCACTATGAGTGCCCACCACAAACAGTTCTCTTCCAAAGAAAGAACGCTTCCTTCTCTTGCGGATGTCATCATTACCCGTTTCTGTTGCACAAAATAGTCCACATGTCTAAACATTTGTTTCGCAGCTTTGCGAAGCCAGATCGGGTTTCAACACGTTCCAACTTGAACCTGCAAAAGGAGCATCTTCGGTGCAACTATGAGTGCCCACCACAAACAAAACCTTTTGTTCACGGCGTTCTATTTTCCAAAACGAGAACGCTTCCTTCTCGTGCGAATGTCATCACTACCCAGTCTTCTTGTGCACAAAAATCGTCCATATGTCTACGCATTTTTCGCGGCATCTGCTTGTGAAGCCAAATTGGGTTCCAACGCGTTCCAACTTGAACCTGCATGATTCGATGCATTCTGTTTGGGGTCTACGCTGGTGTAGTTTTTTTCATTTACTATCCGCGACGTTTTGGCTGAATTTTGCGGATTTGGTGAAAGTCCCAGTGGCTTAAACCAGCTAAGCACATACACCAATTGAGGTACGGTGCAGGCCTATGGGCTGGTTCGGTTCAGGGTGCCGGCGGGCGGCTATAGCGACCAGTGGAGGGCCGCTTCGGACCTGGGCAACGACTTCGTGGAGGTTGGGCGCTTGGCATGGCAGCGACCGCAAAGAGGCCGGACCAGCGCTGGACCCAGCGGCCCGGAGGAGTGGTGGGACAGCTTCAGCACCGAAGCGCCCGCCGCCCTCGACCCCGACAAGAGACGTGCCCGTCGCGTGACATTCGCACGCTCTCGAGCTCAGGGTACGTTTGGCGCCGCTTGTGGCGAGCTGCGGCTCCCCATTCCGCGTGACAGGACTCACGAGCCTGGCGTCACTCAGCATTGTGCCAGATGGGCAAACCGTTTGCGACGACTTCACTGTAACGCGCATCACTGACGGGAACATCGATGTTCATGTCAGCGAGCCGGACGTTGCGGGCAACTCGCGCCGCTTTCCCGGCAGACTCGGGCGAAAGCATGCTCGAACGGAAGGGCTCGGGACGCCAACCTTCCGCACGTGGCACACTTTAATGGACCCGGTTTTAGCTAATGATTTAAAAGGATTATAGAGTTTGACAAGCTGGTAGTAACCGAGTAGTAACCTAATTATAACCCAGTAGTAAACTGTTATAAGTGTGATAAACGGTTATTGAAGTTATGTGGGATTATATAGAAGTTATAATTTTTAAGGAGTTTATACAAGAGGTTATGATAGGTTATCTAAGTGGTTAAGCATAAAGAATGTAAGTCCTATAATGGTTATAATCGGGATTACATATCCACTTATCAGACACACACTACTGCCATTTTGCTGGGTCATGCTGTCTATATATTTCATGGTTGATATAGGCCCAGAGGCAAGTTGGTGTGCGATTGGAACCAGTTTTTCCCTTGACATGGCGGGATTGTGTTTCTGAATCCGCTTTACCATTGCATCCCATTTGCTGCCTGCATCAAGACAAGGGCTCGAAACCCCGAAAGCATGCAAAGCACAACCGCACAATGCAACACCAAGCTTGCATTGAGCCGGTGTGCTCCGGGGACATCTTTCAAAAAGTTGCAATGGCTGTTCAAGGCCATTTAAAGTTGAGATCAAGTTTCACGTGCCCATGGCGGCGTTGTACGGTTCGTGCATATATGCAGGTGCAGCTCGAGCCAAGTGCGTTGGAGGCCGTGCACGCGTGGCACAGCGGACAGGACATGCAGAGGATGAATGAAGATGAGGAGGAGGCCCATGAACTGCCCCGGAGGGGAACGAGCGCTGATATCCAGCGGGCATGCATGCATGCACAGTTCTTCTGTGCAGTTTTGTATATAACGCATGGATCGCGAAAGCTGTGCGGGATGCTTCTGCATCCAGAGAGGAAAAGAAGAAGATTTAAGGTTTTATCTGAAATGAATTTTATTGTTATATATATATATATGTATATGCATATATGCAGGAAGACAATTGAAAGCCGCGCAATCGCATAAATCTTGCCGGTAGCAGCAAATGTTCAATTGTTCATGTGGAGCTGCATAGAGCCCAGAGGCTACAACGCCTGTGGAAGTTCAATTGAGCTTGATTGGAGAAGGGCTCCAGGTTTGAAGGCTGAAGTGGAGAAGGGCATTCTGCATGTGCCAGTGCGGGAAAGAACGCATGCTTCCGCGCCGCTTCATCAAGAGAGGGTAGCTGACGTAGATGCATGCATGCCTTCACACACGCAGCAGCAAGCACAGCAGCAAGCACAGCAGCATGCAGAGCAGCACAGCAAGCATGGAGCAGTTATACCTCAAACAGTCGCTTCACTGCACTCTGAAGACTGTAACGCCTTGCTGGGAGTTTACTGCACTTAGAACACTTCGGTCCCTAGGCCCTGGCAGGTCCCTGCAGTCTGAGGCTTGTAACTCCTAGAACGGCCACTCTGAGGCCTGTACGCACACACTTCAACCTGTAACGCCTTAGGCAACTTCACTGCACTCTAAGACCTGTAACGCCCATAGGACCGTGGCCTCGCGGAGCCATGGACAAGAATGTCGTGAAGGGCATGGTGGACTCCCTTGAGGAGGCGCGTGCAACGCGAACCTTGACCGAGAACGAAGAGCGCTTCATTAGCGAGTACCACCAGGAAGTGAGGGCACAAGCTGCCAGGAAGAAGGGAAGAAGTGCGCCCTCAGAGGCGAAGGAGGACGAGACACTTTCCGAGGAGCCCAGGGTGGGTGCTTTTTTCTATAGTATGTATATGTATATGTATATATATATATATATATATATATATATATCGCTGTATAAATATCGAAACTTGAAGCTGGAAATCCTCATACAAAATATAGAGCTCACTTCTATAAACCTGCTCAAGTCATTTCAGGTTTTTAAATACATATATATAACCCTATAAACCACTTAACAAATTTAAAGCATGTAGGGTTAATATGTATATATATATATATGGGTTCGATGCCCGCAATACAAAATATCGCGAAGCCCTGAACCCTAAACCTATATAATCTTAAAAAACCAGCAAAGCCTGCATGCCAGGACCAGCCGACGAGTCCGAGGACGGAGCCCGACGCGGCTAAGGAGCCCCAGGTGGCTGAAAGGAAGGAGACGGAGTCGGAGGACAGTGCAGCGATGTGCAGCGCCTTCGGTGGCGAAGCGGGAGGCGGAGCAGAGCTCGGAGGGCGAGAAGGCCAAGAAGCTGAAGAAGGAGCGCCGTAGGGCGGAGCGGAGGGCGGAGTCCGAGGAGCGCCGACGCCGGCGGGAGGAAGAAGACCGGGAGCGCAGCAGACGCTTTGAACGGGAGATGGTGGAGTTGAGTGAGAGCATCCAGCGCCAGCGAGAGGCGGAAGCGCAACTATTTGCGGACCGGCTTCGCGAGTGGAGCGACACGCAAGATCGCTGGTGGCGCGAGGCGCAGGAGGAGAGGGTGCGCCGTCGCCGTGATGAGGAGGAGGAGGAGGAGGACCGTCGCAACCGAGGGCGCCGGGACCGGCGAGAGGACAGGAGCGATGATCGCTGGGATGATGGGCGTTATCGCCGAGACGACAGGCGCGATGATCGCCGGGGTGATGGGCGTGATCGCCGAGACGACAGGCGCGGCCATCGCGACCTTGAGCCTGGGCAGTGGCGCCGCTATGGCGATGATGACACGGACGATGCTGGGTTTTCTTCGTATACTGTTTTCGGGTTTGTTTATAAGATACTATATATATATATATATATCCTGATCCTGCATATAAACCTTATAATGCGAAAACCTTATGCAACGTTTCAGCTTCAGCCTAAAACCTTATAAGCCCAAAACTATATACATAAACCCTGATATCAACCTTGAACCCCAAACCCCAAAACCCATAAACGCACAACCCTATATAGCCATCTCAGGACTCGTGGTATGGTGGCAGAGGGCGCTCTGGAGGAGCGAGCAGCAGCAGCGACCCCCGTGGCGGGAAGGGCGCCCGTGGTGGCGGCAAAGGAGGAGCGCGCCGGCCGCGATACGAAAGCTACGTGGGGCGCGAACACGAAGCTCCGGATGGAACTCCGTTGGATCGCCGCCGAGGGGGCGCCGTCACGAAGGTCGCCGTGCTGCTGGGCGCGTTTGAACGCGATGGCTTGAGCGCAGACTTGCTCGACATGGCAGAGCGCTTCCAAGACGCTTTAAGTGCGCGCACGACGCGGATTGAGGATGGGTCGTGGGCAGACAAGCTGCGGCGCTTAGTTATAGCGATCGAGAACCAGGACGAGGACATGGTTCAGGAGCTGCTTTACGACTACACCCACAGGTGCAGTTTCCTGCAGAGCGCCCTGGCCAACAAGAAGTGGGAGGATTGGCGGCGGCGGGGCTACGAGGATTAGGGCGTTTACCGCCGAAAGGGCGCCAGTCGCCGGATAGTGGGCGCATGTCGCTTTGTACAGTTGCCAGCAGCGCACACTTGCGGCCTGGGTTTACGGGCTTTATATATATAGCCAGATTAATACGAAGCACATAGGTATAATATATTATAATCTAAAATACAGCTGCAAGTGTGTGCCGCGACGGCAGAGCAAAGCGGAGCGTGACGCTTCAGGCCTGCAAAAAAAGAGTGCGCACAACGGGTTTAGGTTTTTAGGGTTTAGGGTTGAGATTTTACTTTAATGCAATTGTTCAAGTATTTGATTCATAAAACCCTAAACCCACAACGCTTGAACCCAAACCCTTAATCCCTTATCCCTAGGCTTGAACCGCTAAGCCTTAAACCCCAAACCCTCAACCCTAAACCCTCACCCTAAACCCTAAACCCCCAAACCCTAAACCCAGACACCCAGGGGGGCGTGGGGGGGCGTGGGGGGTGGGGTGGGGGCGTGGGTGTTGGTGCGGGGGAGGGATTGGGAGAGCGTGGGGTGGCTGGGGGCTGCTTGACGGGGCTAGGCAGGGCTGGGCAGGGCTGGGGGGAGCCGAAAATGCCAATTTATATATATAAATTGGAATTTCCGAAAAAAAATTTCCAATTTATATATATAAATTGGAATTTCCGAAAAAAAATTTTCAATTTATATATATAAATTGGAATTTCCGAAAAATTAAATTCCATTTTATTTTATTTATTTAATTTGGAATTTCCGAAAAACCCCCCAGCCCTGCCCAGCCCTGCCTAGCCCCCGCAAGCAGCCCCCAGCCACCCCCCCCCCCCCCGCCCCCCCCCCCCCCCCCCCCCCCCCCCCCCCCCCCCCCCCCCCCCCCCCCCCCCCCCCCCCCCCCCCCCCCCCCCCCCCCCCCCCCGGCCCTCCCCCCCCACGTCCTCAAGCCCCCAACCCACAGCCCCCAACCCCACCGCAAACCCCAGCCCCCATGCTGCAAATACCGCGTGAAAACAACGGCCCGGGATCCCCCACATCTGCGGGCAAAATCTGGCGGAAGTGATCCGCCACCGAGCAAAAAGCCTGTAAATACTGCATTAAACAAAGGGCCAGGGATTTCACGCATCTGTTGGCAACATCTGGCGGAAGTGAGCTGTGAATCACTTCCGCCAGATGTTGCCCCGTCAACAACCAGCACACCCTCACACCCACAACCCACGCCGCACATCATGCCGAACAACCGGCACAAAACATGCAAACCCACCCCGCGCCCATTCAACCAGCAGCCACCGCCCAGACACCCACAAACCCTAACCCTGAACTATACACCCTAAAACTCCAAACCCTGAAACCCCTAAACGCCAAACCCCAACCCCCTAAACCCTAACCCTGAACCGTGAACCCTTAAGCACCAAACCCTAAACCTTAAACCCCTTGAACCCCAAACCCTTAATCCCTTATCCCTATGCTTGAACCGTTAACCCTTAAACCCCACATCCTCAACCCTAAACCCTCCAAACCCCAAGCCGCCAACCCTAAACCCTAAACCCAACCCTGAACCGTATAACACCCTATATAACCCCAAACCCTAAACCCACACCCACCCGCCCACCCAAGCAAGCAAGCAGCAGCACGACAGCATCAACGTTAATGGCAACAGCACAACAACAACAACAACAACAACAACAACAACAACAACAACAACAACAACAACAACACTAGCAACAACAGCAGCACCAGCAACAACAACAGTGGCAACGGCACTACCAGCAGCAACCGCACCAGCAGCAGCAACTGCAAGAGCGACACCGGCAACAAAAACAAAACATACAGCAACAACCAGAAACTCATGTTACATTGGTTCACCATGATATTTATTTATAGATGTTAGTTTTACATATAATTAACACTAAACAAAACCCTATTTAGTTCGTCATGTTGTAGGTCATTCTTGTTTCTACATGAGTATGATAAGTTGACTCACATATATCCATCTATGAATTGCAGGCGAACCGTAAGTATTACTGTATAACACTGCAGACATAATCTAATGTTGGGGTTTATACGGTCTATGGAGCCCAAGGTTTAGGGTTTAGGGCACGGGCAGCTGAAACCACAACTTTTTGGCTACTGGCGGACTTTGGACGCTGCTGTATACTGCCACACAGGACACACATCTGCTGGCTTTCGGTCGAAGTGATATATACTGCTTGCATGATCGACGTATAACTGCTCTTCCACGCCGCAGGTGTGGCCTTTAAGACTATATACAACGGCGAAGCACGCCCTCAAGCTACACGGCGGCAAACGCCCTTTTTAGACTCAGTCGCGGTAACCGCGCTCCCGGTAGCTCTGCCACTGACGATTCTGCATGGCAGCCTTGACAGGAGGAGCGTGCTTGTACTCCTCAGCCATATCGCGAATCTCGCGCGCCTGGCTGTGACCAATCGCCGTGCAGAGGCGCCTGAGCTTGTCGCTCCAGCTGTTGGCCTTGACGGGCTCCACGCGTGCAGCGAGTTCATCCGAAAACCGCTCAGCCAGCTCCTTGAGCTCCCTCGCGACACCAGCGCGCTCGTACGTGGCCAGCAACACAGCGACTTTTGTTGCGCCTCCGCCACGGTTCTTGTCCAGTGGCTGACCAACTTGTAGATCCACTTCACGGCCAATGTAGCTCTCGCGATGACCGCGCCCTTTGCCGCTCTTGCCGCCTCTGCGATCGGACGCACCAGCATTGTCCGCGGAGCGCTGCGCTCGCCCCCATGCCTCACACGAGGAAGCTGGAAAAAGGACATTCCGCCACGTTGGGCGCTCCTCCCGCCCCGTTAAGCGCTCCTCCCGTCCTGTTGGGAGCTCCTCCCGCCCCGCTGGGCGCTCTTCTCGCCTCGTTGGGCGCTCTTCTCGATCAAGGGGGCGCCTGTCCCCGCGCCTGTCCTCGCGCCGCTCCTCCCGCCGTGCACGGCGCCGCTCTTCCTCCTCATCCATGTCCTCGCGCTGCCTGCGCCTGTGTGTCTCGCGAAGATCGCGCATCCGCTCTTCGTGTTCGCGCAGCTGCTCTTCCATTTCCACGCGACGAGCGCGCGCATCCTCCGCCATCCGCTCGCGAAGGCGTTCCCACTCCTCGCGCGACTCGCGCTCGTGCCGCCTTTGGCGCTCTGCCTCGTGCTCGAACTCCCGCCGCAGGCGCTGCAGCCGATCCTCCTCCCGCCGGGGACGGCGCTCCTCTTCCCCTTCATCCTCCTCCTCTTCGGTCTTCGCCCCCCTGGGCGCCTGCTTCCGGCGCGCCTCCACCTCTCTGGCCACCTGCTTCGCCGCCGTAACAGGCGCGCCTTTCTCTTCCACCTCCTCGCCCGAGGAGTAATACTCGTACGAGGAGTCCTCTGCAGCTGATGCACCGTGTTTCACCGCGCTCTGCGACGCGCTCTTGGCTTTCGCGCCAGGCACCAGCGGCGCCTGAAACACACCAGCCTTTTTCAGAGCCTCGTACTCAGCGAGAAACCGCTCTTCGTTCTCTGCAAGTTTCCGCGACTTGCGCGCCTTTTTCAACTCGGCAGGGTGCTCTTCCATGGCCAGGGTGTTACAAAGCAATAAGCTATACTCTGTCTGTGACTTACTTATGTATATATGATTTGTATATCTATATACAGCACATATGTGCTCGCCACTGACGAGTCACAAGTATACATGCATATGTACCTGCTAATTTCAGTGCCAGGGAGTTAGTATAGTCTACAGCGGCAGAGATGTAATTCCAAAGTGGTGCCGTGCTTCATCTCTTGTTTCCCGGTCATGTGAGTTCTGCCGTGTCCGCATGTCTCTGTGCATGTGTGTGTGTGTGTGTTTGTGTGTGTGTGTGTGTTTGTGTCTTGGCGCCGGAGCGCTTGCACTGTACATGAGAGCGATGAGAAAGCGGCGCCGGTCATATACTCCAACTCAAGTGCATCACGCGTGATGAAATCCTTCTTGGGAAGTGCACTTGGATGGGGTATAATAAAATCGTTGCTGGGAGGTGCTTGTACTGTTCTGAGGCAACCATGCAATCAACCTGTCAGGCAGGGGTACATATAAGTCGTTGCTGGGACGTGCTTGCACTGTTCTGAAGCAACCTGTTCGCCTGGCTTGGGGCATCTTGCGCTGCGCCTGCAGCAACCAAACCTGGCAGCCACGATTGGGGTAAAGTTGTTGTCCCGCCAGGATTGGGGTAAAGAGTCAACCAAACAGCCTGTCAGCCAGGCTTCGGGCTAAGTCGATGTTGCAACAACGACGTTGTATACCTCCCATGGAAGGTGCTTGCGCATGTTCTGAAGCAACCAAGCAACCTGTCAGCCAGGATGCGGGGTAAAGTCATTTTGAGCAGGTTCTCGCGCGCTGCAGAAGCTGCCGTGCAGCGGGAACAAACTCCATTCTACACGATTTTTTCGTTTGGTAGGACATGAATCTTAAGAAAATCATAAGGTGCACCTCCGAAATTCTATAGTGCACATACCAAATATTGTTGGCTTAAAGCCTAGATCATAACCACTATAACCCTCTACATAACCCATTACATAAACCCTTCCATAACCACTTATGTAACCATTTATGATAACCACTTGACAACCCTTTACTAACCTCCATAACCCCTATAAGTCACTAGCTAAAACCCGGTCCATTAAAGCAAGCGTCACTGAGCGCCTGGCAGCGGCAGTTGCGACGAGGCTGAATGAGCGGACGATGCGCCGGAGATGGCCGATCGCAGACCCAAGCTCCATAACCAGAGCGGTAACTGCGCGGTGCCAAGGGCAAGCCGGCAGTTCGGGTGCTTTCTCCCTGCAAAGCAAGGTGCGGAGACACAAAGCATCGGCGCGATCATGTTCGCGGGAGTATAATCGGCCGTGCAGTGCGGAGGGAGCACACGGAGGAGGTAGTTGGCGCGGGTGGAGGCGCAAAAGAGCAGCAACCAGGCCCACTCAAGTCACCCAGGGCAGGGATGCGCTTGGCTGAGTGCGGACGCGACCGCGTGAAGGGCGGCGTGTTGGGCCACTGCATAAAGCGCGGGCATGAGGGGGTCGCCTTGCTCTCCGCCCTCGGCTTGCAAGACCTCGTGCTCAGTGCCAGCGTCGTCGGTCCAGAGGCAGCTGCTCTCGCTGCCGGAAAGCTGGCACGCAAACGACGGGAGCGGAGCAAACTTACCAACCAGCACTGCAATCGGAACCGAGCACGACAAGTGACGAGCGTCTGTGGCCCGCCCCGCACGTGAGCTCCGCGTACATGTCGTGTTTGCAGCGCCCAGCCGAGCCATGCCATTTCTGTTCGCAACACCTGCAAGATGTGGGTCTCAGCGACCTCTTCCGAGTGCTGCTCTGCCGCCCTTTGTTTTTGCCGTTCTGGCTTTGCCGCGCATTTTGGCGTTCGGATGCTTGGGAGAACCGTGTACAAAATTTGCGGAGAATGTTTCCTACACCTTGAATGGGTTCCCACTGCACACTGTCCATACGGCACAGCCTTCTGCATTACGAACGTAGGCAGCTGCACGTTACGACTTCCCCACGAGCCGCCAAGCGGCAGGCGGCGCGTGGAGCATGAGGAGCGCCGCCCAAGCTGCAGTGTTCGCGACGGCTTGTTGCACATGTTGCACCGACAATGCAAACATGGCCCACCAACGCCTGGCCTATGTCGACGATGCTGCGCTTCGCATGGCTGGCAGAGCTCACTGGGCAAAGACGCGGACGAGATTACTGCAGGGCCTGCATTCAGGGTTCGGAAATGTGCTTTAGGGGCTCCTCGACCCCCCCCAACACATACCCCCCCCAGATGATCTTACATGGCTTGCTGGACACCAGCTCGTTGTTGAATGTTGTTGATGTCTCCCTCGTCGGATGTCATTAATTAGCCAAGCGCATGGAAATGGGTGATTGTGGCCGCATGAAATCACCAACTGTGCTCAGTTGCTTCCACGTGCCCGCGATACAAAGCGTGCCTTCCATCCTGGTCATGTTGGGTCTCTACGCATCCTTGCCGGCACATGGCTGCAGCACGCTGCAACACCAAAGTGGCTTGCGCGTGCTGACCCTGCAGGTGTCGTCGCAACGTGTTTTGATGTCGACTGCAGAACGCAGTCACAGGTCTAGACACATCGCGGCTTGATACCACGCCACAACCTAGGAACAGTCATTCTTGGTGATTTATAATGCCGAATGCTTACCTCCAGCCGATGTGCGGTGGAGTTGAGACTTGGCTTTCGGCCTGTTGCGTGAGAACGCGTGGTTGCTCGCAGCCATCTTCAGCAAGTCACGAGTCAGAGTGTCAGCCGAACACAAACCCTGTTCGTCAATAGGTGTGGTAAATGAGTATCGATTAACTGTGTCCGCCAATGTGGAAAACTAGGTTGACCTGGTGCCCAGAGAAGCTAGGCACCGATAAGATGTTCACGACACCATCTGAGCAGTAATGGTTTCGAGCCATGAACCCTCGCCAGACCAGGTAATTGGAAGACTCGGGGGATTTGCGTCCTTGGTTTTTCAATATTGGAGGCAGATGTGGTCCAAGAACAAGTCCGACAGTCCAGGCACAGTTTGGATGCACGTGGGCAGGTCGGTGAGGTTGCATGCCGTTCATTTGCTCGACTTCAATTCTGCTATGTTCATCTACCAACTCCGTGCGCCGAACATGCCATCACAATATCAATGCTGGAGTTCCGCCATGTTCTCTTAAGCTGAGCCGTCCATCTCTTTAATTCGAAGCGCCAGCTGCATGCTGCGGGTCGTGTTTCAGGAAACCTGGCTGTTTGGTTTCTAGCAGTCTGTGGTGTTTTGCTTCTGGTTGTCGCGATGGTTGGCCGAAAAGGCAAACGATGCGGCTCATCAAGAATAGCTGGAAGTGATGGTGATGTTTGCGATGGTTGTGAGATGTTGTGAGCCGTAGATCAGCACGTGAGCTTTGCTGTGGCTTCTGCCAGGAACGATGCAAAACGTGCGGAAGCTAGACGAGCCGGGCAGCTCAACTGTCTGGGCTGTGGGATGTTTGCATGGGAAGATTTGTGTCTCTTAAGCCATCTCGCACCATCGAGCATTGGAGCAGAGGGTGCCACATGTTGGCGAATTCCGTGTTAACCTGCTGGCGCTGAAGTAGTTAGCCTAGAGAATAGTCGAGGATGTAGAGATTCGTGATGTACAGGTTGTGTGTAGCAGTAGCAGCATCCGTGCCGCCATGGCGCGTGTCCGCCACAAAAGCGGCAAATTTAGCAGACAGCTGTGACAGCATGCAGCATGCCAAAGCCTTGGCCATTCTGGAAGTCAAAGATGGCGTAATTGAACGCTTGGAGCAAGAGGTGCATGCGGCAGAAGCGGAAATCAGCCATTATGAAGAAGGCGCAGAGCTGGCCGAAGCACGCGCCGCCGCGGCATCAGCGACTGAGGCAACCGCTGCGCTGATCCACGATGACACTTGGCGTGCGGCTGATGCACATGCCGAGAGCGATTGCCAAATGCTAGCAGAGATGGCACATCAAGCAGAACGTCGTGCCCAATATGCAGCCACTGAAGTTTTCGAACTGGGACAAGAGAGTAAAGAAGCTGAGCACAACGTTGAGCAGCTGTCTGCTGAGATTTCGCGTTTGAAGTCCCCTGCCCAACCACTAGCACGACCTCTTGCCGCCGAAGCTGCTCTGTTGAAGTCGAGTCTGTTCATGGCTTGTTAAATAGATTCCATCATATTCCATGCATGCCTCAAAGTGGATCGCGGCAGGAAACCAAAACGTGTGGAGCATGGAGATAGTAAGTGGATGTGGTCCAGGACATGTACAGGGTTTCAGCATTGGGTCTCATCCTTTGCCAGAAGAGCCGATGCGCCTCCCCTTGTGCCGTTGTGCCGAGCTGAGGTGGTCCGGCTGGAGGTGGCACTTATTGAGTCTCAGAAAGCTCTTCTCAAAGCGGAAGAGAGAGCGCAAGAAGCTCGACAACACGAATTGCTTCTTCAGCAAATCGGCCATCCGGCGGCAAATTGTTTGCAGGTGTCCATCACTTTGCGATTCGTGCCTCTCAGGTGCCGGCTCCGGCATCATGGAGAGCAGCACGCCTAGCGCAAGTACAGAAGCTGACAACCACCTGTGCAGCCGAAGAATGGCAGTCGTGGAAGAGCACTTGGAGGAGCTGTTGCTGAGTGCTGTGCAGCTTGTCCCAAGCACCTAAGAACTGAGGAGATACTGCAGCAGCACGAGGCAGAGATGGTTTCTTTGTCTGCTCGATGCCGGGATTGCAGCAGTCGTAATAGTTTTACAGAAATGATTTCACAGTCAAAGGCCATACATCACCAGACACAGATGACTTCCGAGTTTGTACTGAAATGATGCGGGGTGTTGAGATATTTCTGCACTCACACAACTTTCCGGCCAGTCACTGTAGCAGATGTCAAAAGCAGCTGAGGGCTTTGCGCGGATGTGCGTGCCACAGCAGACCGGCTTGGGCCGTTACAGCTCCGTCCTCCACAAAGTTCTCAGAACCCACCAGTGACTGTCAAGCCTCGACCGACCGCGCGGCCAACACCAGGGTCAGTGACGAAGCTAGCGCAAGATCCGTTCGAAGAGACTCAGCTGCTTCGCAAGCGTTGCCATCTCTTGGAACAAGATCTTTCACAGGCCATGCAGCTCACACAACATGTGTCTGCATTGCGGGATCGGGCAGAATCAGACAGCCACAGAGCAACTGACCAGCTCCAAGGTGCCCGTCAACAATTTGCGGCAACCTTGTCGCAGCTCCAAAAACATCCAAACCAAGCGTCTCAGTCTCAAGCAAGTCAATTGCCCAAGCCCGCCGGCAGTCGAGGTCCTGACGAAGTTGCACAGGAGACTTCAGTGCTTCGAAAGTCTTTGCACGTACTTTGCAAACAGTTGCGTGAACAAGCGCAGAAGGGAGATCAGACAACAGACTCCCAAGAGACTGCGTTGCTTCAAGGAGTTGCAGACATTGGGGGGCAGGTCCTCTTGGCAATGGCATCGCTAGGGGATGTTAATCGCAAGCTGCAGCTTGCGGAGATGCAAACTTACCAACCGGGTCGGGCTTATGCATCCAGCAACAACTCAACTCACGCAGGTGATGTGAGTTCGACTGTCGCAGATGATGCGAAAGTTCTGCGTGAGCAGGCAGTGCAAGCCGCGGACATGTTGAGGCTGCGAGAGGCAGCCTCGGAGCAAGCACTGCTACAAGAAGAGGCAGTTTCTTTGCGCAGCGAGCTCCATCTAATGGAAAGCTACGATGCGGCACGTGCAAAGGCACGCGTGGAATACGAAGAGCAGATTGGGAGGGATGCGAACCACTGCCTCGAAGAAATAGATCAAGCAAATGGATCTGGTGTTCATTTCCAGCAAACCGAAGTATCTGCGCAGGTTGCGGGACCGCTTCTGGTGTTGGTCCTGCAGAACCTGGCAAGAGCACAGCGCTGGGCTCGGTCCAGTGAGTTGACAGCGATGACTTGGAAGGCCTTGGTGGAGAACCTCACCAATCATGCCATGCACCTTGAGGAGCTTGTGGCATCAGATGCCCTCCAATCCCTCGCCTCAGCTTTTACCTCACCTTTCATCGGGGAACTCTCACCAGAAGGCATCGCAGACAAGTGCATCAGTTCTTTAGAAGCGCACTTGGCAAACATATCCAGCCAGTGGCACCACGCCGTGTCTGTGTGCTGCAAGATGGAGATGGATCTTCGGTCTTTGGAAGCCCAGATGCGGACCAAACCGGAAATTGCAGCCAAAGAAGCTGCAGCAGAAATGCTCCAGCAAGAAAGCGTTTGGAACCAAGATCTGCTACAAAGATGCATCAGTTGGCTCACACACGCAACGGAGGTGGCAGACTGGAATGCGATGGCTGCAGTGCGAGAACTCGGTCTGGAACATGCTGTGCGTGACCTGGTGTCCATGAGCCAGGCCTTGCGAGAACATATTTGGAGTCTGGAGGCGGAGCATGAGAACCTTAGCTCGGCAGCTAGTTGTCAGAGTCACTCGGCAGATTCCATTCCGAGGGGAATGAGGGACGGTTCTGGACTACAGCAGCACATTGACTCGCTGAAGTCTGACTTGGGATCGGCCCGTGGCGAACTTTGTGCCGTGAAGGAACAGGTCGACGTAATCAAGCACAAGCTGCACCACGCCCTTCACGATGCAGAAAGCGGCAGTCGCAACCACGAATCTCCACAAAGCTCCAGCGGGAATCAGAGCATTGCCTTAGCGCAAATCTGCCCAGTGTTGGCTTCAATCGCACGGCAGATGCAGCACATGTGCCAGGAGACGGACATCCGAAAGAGATCAGATGCATGTCACATGGTTCTGGAAGAGTTGGAACGAACACGATCATGGTGCAGGCAGGTGCAACAAGAGTTAAAGCAACAAGGTGCTATCGCGGCGAAGCTGCTTGTCGCTGCACCTGGAGATATATCTGTAGACCGTTCTCACAAATATGCCTACGTGTCGGAACCAGAGCCGTCCGACATTGAACCATCTATCTCGAGCCGAATGTTGGAGCCTCGGTTGTGCCATTCGCCGCCATGGTCTCTTTGTTCCTTTCTGTCCCACGCAAGAACAGCTCAGGTCGGGGGCGATTCTTCATCGGGTTGAAGCCATCCTGAACATGCAGCAAGACCTTCAAACCGGCTACAGGACGGTCACGCGTGAACTCCATGAGCTCCAGAACAAGAGGCAGAAGCAGGAGCTACTGGGCCAATCATTCCACAAAACAGCGCAGTGGGACATGCACGATTGATGACTTTTCCGCTTTTTCAACCATTGCATTGCAGCATCGTCAATCAGGGTCTGCACATGTCGGCAGCCTGGGACCTTCTCTAGTTCCCGACGACCCTGCACGGTATTGTCTTGTTGCTTATGCTTTTGTCAGGCCCAGACCGGGGCAGGATCTTATGATAAATTGGGCGACGAATCCCTTCGCCATGCTGATGCTGACTATGAAGGTGATGGTTGAGAAATTCCCAGCGGTTTGATATGAAGCAGGGCAACGACAACGACCGCCAACAAATAAAATCATGCAACCCTTTGGCAGAAGTGGCAGCGGTAGCAGCAGCAGCGGTAGCAATGGCAGGACTTGTAGTTGTCGTCGGCCCCGTTGTCGGAGCAATACTGTAGCAGTCGCAGCCGCAACCGCAGTCGTGGTCGTCGTCGACGTCGTCGTCGTAAGCAGTAGAAGTACAAGTGCAAGTAAAGAAGTAGAAATTGTAGTTGTAGTTGTTGTTGCAGACAAAAGTCGTATGTACTCGTGGTTACTAGTACATATTGGCACTACTGAGGGTTGCAGGGCAAGTGGAAGTTAAAGGTTCAGTCTGGTGGCCTCAGCTGAAGTGTGGCTGTCGCTTTCAGAGCCACGAATCACACTTCTTCTATCACGTTGTGACTCTGGCTGGCTTTTCCTCCTGCCGGGCGATCGAGCATGCAATGACCGAGGAATGCCATCGGACGGCTACATGGCCAACTGCAGCGGCGTGGTCAGGCCCTGAAGCAGCTCGAGGGCTTGGTTGAAGCAGGAAGCAAGAAGGTGAAAACAGCGAAGGAGTCCGCTTGAAGACAGGGTTTGGATGTGCGACCTGTGCTTTGGATAACAGCCCCAGGAGAAAGCGGTTCTCAACGCTCAGATGGAATTGCAGCAAAGCTACCAATCAGAGCTGGCAGAGCTGCAGCCCGTCCAAATAATCACTGCTTCATACGGTAGCTTGCACCGCAGTTGCGGCAAGCATGCTAGAGGCACGGCCGTCCTGTGACAAGCTGTCGGCTCTATATACCACTGAGCCCGAGGAAAGCAGGTTTTAGTCTTTCGACAGGTATTCGTAGGCATAGAAGAAGTCCAAAGCCCCCCGCCGGTTTTCGATGCGTTCAGCTTTGGCTTGCCTGTTCATCAGGGCCTGCGTTTCACAAAAGACATGGCGAGGTTGAGGATGGCGGGTTGTTGTTTTGCGCAAACGGGGCTTGAGAAAGCTCGTGGAGCAGGGCTTGAGCTTTCAGCGGAGAGCATACCAGAGCCGGAAACCAGTGTACCATTGATGGTGTCCGTTTTTGCCGTGGGGTTTAATCGATATTTTCACAGAATTTAATAATTTCTTCGAGGGAAGTGGGGGAGTGGCCGGGCGAGGGGGCGGGTGGGTACATCGATGTATCATATATCATATGACTTAATAACGGGTGCTGTAGCAGAGCCAGTGATTCTCAGCCCATACCTGTTCCAAACCCGCTTGCGCAATGTGTTGGCTTCTGACCAACACTATCATAGCCACTACCACTACCAGTACTACTACTGTTGCTGCTGCTGCTGCTGCTGCTGCTACTATTTCCCACTTCCGACTACTACTACTACTACTACTACTACTACTACTACTACTACTACTACTACATCTCTACAGTACTTCTATGTATTTCTCTGCAACACTACTGCTGTCCTCCAGTCTACAGAGGAAGGCAAGATTCTCGAAAACCGAAGCATTCACTTACTGGCATTGATTCAGTATGGCTTCGGTATCCACAGCCCCTAGCAAGCTGGCGGTTTCGGGACATTTCATCCTCACAGACTCGGGGACTGTGAGAAGCATTTGAAAGGTTGCGTAGCCGTCGGCAGCTAGGCCCCTGCTTGACAGCGTTCTCCTAGCCCTAGGGTCGTCAATCGTTTCTCCCAGGGAGCTGATTCACCAGCAGCACAGAGCCGCTTCAGCAGCCTGGGAAGGCGGGTGATTGCACTTGGTTTTGGTGGTTTTGCCACCACACCCATTTCCCGTTTAGCCCAGTAGCTGCGCAGGCAAAACCGAGGAGGAAGCAGCCGTTGTTGTGAAGATGACTGCCGAAGCCAGCGCCGCTTCAGATGCAGAGGCTGCTGCCGCCAGCGAGGCCCAAGCCGCCTTGTCTACAGCAGAGGCAACCCATGCTGAAAGTCGGGCAATCAGTGATGCCCACCTGACGGCACGACGTTTGCAGTCCCTTTCCCAAGCGCTCCAGGGACAGACAATCACTCGATCTGGGCTGAAGAGTCTGTCTGAGAAACTTGCGACGACGTCAGAAGATCTCTCTCAGCAAGTTGATGCTTGCACGGAAGCTCGGCAACGGCTCGGCAAGATCGAAGAAGAACAAATCGAAGCCGTGGAATTGGCCAAAAGCTCTGAGGCCACAAACCTCGAACTCCAGGAGCAAGTGAGATTGCTAATGCTGGCCTCAAGTGCAGCTTGTGAGTTGAGAAATGCAGAAGCAAGCTTGGGCCAGGGAGAGGAAGAGTTGGAAAGGATCGCTGGGCAGCTGAACGTCAAAGCTGCAAGCTGCAAAGAACTCTTTGAGCAAAGGCGTCTTGCCGAAAGCCAAGCAGAAACGGAGGAGTTCTTGTTGAGCCAGCTTCAGTCAGCAAGTCAAGGGCTAGAGTCGCGATTGCAAAGGGCGGAAGCCAGGCAACAAACCCAGGAGAGACGCTGCAGACAGGAAAGGACAGAGTGGAAGCAGCAGCTCCGACAACACCATTTGCATGGCATTAAGACGCAGAAGAGCATCGGAAACTTTGCCAGGGAGCCGCTTGCTATCGTCTATGAAGCGGTCCCGGAACACACCGCACACGAAGTCGGGCAGGAGGAGCATGCGCTAGAAGAGCAAGCAAAGGAGTTGCAGATTCAGCTGGAAGCAACTAAGCGTCGACACCAGATGTTGGTAAAGGAAAATGACACGGAAAGATACCTGGCAAAGCGTGGCGAGGAAGTCCTCGCCAAAGAGATTGCATCTGCAAGAGGTCGAGTGACCGCAATGTCGTATGAGCTAGACCGCCTGCTTCAAGTCACCGCTGGTCCAGATGCTTCCAACGAACGCATTTGCGCGAGCTTTTCAGGTCAGGCTAATCGTGCGAGCGACACTGCCAAAGAGGCTTTTCGAGCTTTCAGAAGTCGTTCCAAGAAGCTGCAAGGCTCATTGGCACAGGAACAGGAGCAAGGTCGGCAACTGCGAGATCGAGTTTCCCAGCTCAAGCATGTCAATGTTCAGCTGCGCGAGCGCATCCGGGATGCCGAGCAGAGATTACATGTGAGTCGTGATGACGTGGAGCGCAAGCGGGTGCTTGCTGCAACCTTGCAAAAGCGACGCCAGGAGTCTGCCGAGCAGACAGCACTCACAACGCAGCAAGAAGAGGAAAGCAGCAGATCACTCCAGCAACTTCGGAGTGACGCCGCGAGAAAAGATGCTGCCATCAAGAATTTGCAGAACGAGATAGCATCAGCTCAGCGAGAAACAAGTGAAGCCAACTGCAAGGATAGAGGTCAGCAAGAAGAAGTCCGATCCAAAATGCAGGTCGAGTTGCATCGAAAGGAGCAGCTGCTGCACCATGCACGTGCAAAGGCGCAGCTTCTCAAGACCCGCTTGGATGCAGAGGTCCGGCGAGATCTTCGTGCTCGGCGTGTCGCTAGGAGCGCGTCGAGCAGCCGTCTAGAACGAAGCCCAAAGACAGGAAGTGATGATTTGGCAGAGTCTCCTTTACCGCCCTCGCGTGCTGAACGTGCAACGGAATCTGTGTGCATATTGCCCGATGGTCCGGAATCTCTGAGAAGCTCGGGTTTCTCAGCAGTTGAGGAGCTGTCTGGCATCATATTTCAGGCGGCAAACTCCGTCGACTCTTCCTGGGAGCTCTCGACCGCGGTCCAAGAATCTTTGCAGATACTGAATCTCCAGCAGGAGGATCTGGCAGAGTTCCTGTCACCAACGGAGGTTCCGCAATCTTCTGTTGAAAAGGGTTTTGCAGTCCTGCGGCGTCTGTGCTCAGGCTTTGGTTGGTGGCATGTAAAACAGGGACTGACTATATACATGCAGGTCGTGGTGCCATGTAGACTGCGCTTTCGACAATGCCAAGGTCCGACTGAGGGCCAAGGAAGCACGCAAAAGAACTAGGAGGAACCAGAAGCGCAGAGAAGAGAAGCAGGCCGTAGTGCTTTGCAGCCTGTGTGCTGTTTGAGAACCTTTGGGATTTTGCTTGTTGTCAGGCCGCCAAAGCAAAGGACAGCGAGCTCGGCAAAGTTCCTCGCAGGACACTCGGAATCGTCAATCCACGCTTCTCCTTCATCGCACGTTCATGTTTCAGGGCTGGCTTGCTGTAATGCAGGTGCCGCTGTCCGCAGCGAGGCTGCGTGGTCTCGGGGTGAGGAGTTGCTGAACGCTGCTGAGTTCGCACACTTTCTGTGAACGAACCTTCGCGAGCAGTGGAGGCAGGCGCCCACGCGCGCAGGAGCTTTGGAGATGGCAAGCAAGCATGCAAGCAAGCAACCAAGCAAGCGAGGAACGTATGTCAGGAAGAGTGCCTGAACAGACACCGCTGACTTGCTTATTCAACTCGGCATCACTACAGACGACCTGGGAGTTTTGATGTTTGCGATATGATGCGAACCTTCTCGGTCGGCTTCAGCCAATGTGGCAACATTGGCCTCACTTCCGAACCAGTTACCGCACCACTACACAATGTACACACAGCGTCCGCAAAAACAAACATGACCGACCTCGCAGTACCTGTTGATCCCTTGCAAATTCAGAAGCTGTCAGCGCAAAGTGCCAAGTCCCTGTCGTTTAGTTGTGTGAGCATGACGATGAATTTTGCGGTTGCTTGCCGGTTTATCGAATTCATGCACCAGTCAGTGTTCACTTGTTCAGAATGCGAAGATATACCCTGTCTCACTTTGCGAAACATGTGGCAGGCTTCAGTCCCTCGAAAGCGTGGGCGACCGAAGAAAGCCACAGCGGAAGAGCCGCAAGTGGACTCAGGCTGGCATCCGACGGTCGGATCGGTGACCGGCTTGAAGTGGACGGTCTTGCTGCAGGGCCTGCGCCGGTGACTCCTCCCGAAGGCATCCTGGTTCGCACCGAGATGCCAAACTCCGGAAAGCAGCCGTTTATCAGAAATCACTACAGCATCTTCTGAGCTCTACTTGTAGCTTCATGCAACACAAAAGAGATGGCGCTCCGATAGTGCTGGGATCCTGCGTCTTGTGCCGGGGTGGGGCCGCTCCCAGGACTGCCTGCCCCGACCTTGTTTCGTCGCCCCGAACGAATGAAAAGCAGCAGCAGCAATGAAGGCAATGCGGGCTTCTGGCAGGTTCTGGCAGGGACTGATATCACTCGCTAAACCGGAGCCCATTTACAACTGCGGGGTGACCAGCCACTTGCCGCTGACCCATCGCTGACACTTTGCACTGCTTGCCGAGTTCGAGACCCAGCATCACTGGCCGCCGATGTGCCAGCATCGCTCTTATACGTCTCTGCTGGTGCCTTGCATCCTGCACCCGTTGAGTTGTCACTAACAGAGGGGTGAGCGTCACCGAGGCTAAACGAAAGCTTGTCGCCCAACCTCCAGCGGCTAGACTGGTGGTACCCGGAGGCGCGAAGTAGGACGATGTATGTCGAATCAATTATCAACCTGTATCCTGAAAGCGCCTGCAGGTACCGAAGTAGACGGTCCGGCACCCAAGTAAGCCTACTGCGTTGTTTGCAGTGCGCTGTTCCTTCACAAGTCCACCCTGTAACAGCCGTGTACCACACACCCAGCAATGCCCACTTAGTAGTTCCAAGATGCGGTCCGAGGCAGGCCCGATGAGGCCGTAGCAGCTGCATGTTTACCGAAACAAATGTGAGGGTAAGTTGCCCTGTGCCGGCACATTTTCCTTCCTCAGCAAGAGGCGGACTTTGCAGCTCCGGAACGACCACAACTGGGCGAGCTTCCCGCGACGCCACTGGAGAGTTTGCCCGCGTCGGCCCCTCATGTAGCGTCGCGCGTTGGCACGTGCGTCCGCGCGCGCAGAGGGACCGTGCGTCACCACGGGCTTTATGCCATAATGCGGCCCCATCCCCCCTGTGCCAAGACCCTAAGAACCCGATAGTGCAGGCCTCTTTTGCGAGTGTCGGTCCGGCTTGAATCGCTGCGCTGCTGCGTGCGCTGGCTTTAGGCTATCTGAACCCGTGGAGTCAAGCAGGCCGCCGCAACCTAGCACGATGTGAGAATCATGCTAAGTCCTTCCATCTTGCTTGAACCTATTGCCATGCAGGATTGCCGACGGGAGTTTGCCAGATTTTAGCAGTGCAGGCAAGGTGCAGAAGCCTGTCTCGGGGCTTGCATAGTGCGGTATTTTGTGCATGCTGGCAAGTGTGACGAATGCTCACCCTGTTGCTGCCTTCACGATGGCTTGTTTTTACGAGTGCAGATTCCATGGCGCTGTACATGGTCCGGCCCACCCAATTGCAGCCCGTCGCGCAAACAGCAGCGAGAAGCAAACAAATCCTCAGCACGTAAGTTCAGTTCTCGTGCCCTGCTGAGCGTTGCCAGGGCCACCACCACCCAAATGTGTCACTGCATTTGCAGCACTGTTCAGGCCGTCCGCTCTGACGCACCTACTGCACATGCCTTGTGGCATCATCCGCGGTCGCCCACCTGCAAAGGCACATCGTTCAAGAACTTCCGGCACAAAGCTCCGCCCGTCGGGGCGCGATTGGACAGGCAATGCTTATCGCTGCTTGTCGAAATACGCTGAAATCGGCAGACTCAACATCCATCATTTTCAGGTTGCTAAGAGACTGGCAGTCCAACTCACGCCATCAGACCTCAACGTCTTTCTCCGGGAGGCGCACTCGCAACACTGTTTGCCCCCACCCACTCAGCCCGAACAACGCTCACCTTTGGACCGCATGGTTTGGTGAAACTTCAGGTTCAGCTTGGACTTTTGGACAAGGGAGGGCGATTGCCTCGGCAACTGAGAACACGATTCTCGGAGAACGGACGTGTGGATCCGTGCAAGGATTTCGAGAAGCAAAAGCACGGCCGGACTCCCAGTCTGCGAATGTTTGTTTCCGCTTAGCTAAACACAAACTGTAAATTCACAGGTGCTTTCAGCGCGTTCTTGGAAGAAGCACCAAGAAAAAGCAGAAGGCCAACGCCTAAGCAAAAGCGAAATTCAGCCTCGACGTAACAGTCCAAGTAATGAAGATCTTTCCTGGCTCCATGTTACCACCGTCAGGCCGCCTGCAGGCTGTTCTTCGCAATGATCTCGGCAAGAGATGGCATTTCATCACTTGATCGTCCCGTGTTCGTATTGAAGGCCAGGAAGACAACGAGAAGCTGAGCCCCGTCCAGGCAGGTTTGCTTAGCGTGTCCGGATAGTCCTGCCGCAAGCTACATGTAGATCTGACATGGTTGATTCGACCAACAACATCTTCGCAAGAGATATCGGCTATCGGACCCTAAGTCTTCACTCGTTCGATGCATAATATCACAAACTAAAAAGCGACTTTACACATAATCTTGGCTATCGTAGATGCGCATGATCAACATCCAGACAATGCTTGATGAACCTTCGAACCTTGATGGGACTTGCCCTGACTTCTGTGGGCGAGTTTTCATGGGCAGGTCGACGGGTTTCGGCTTGCCAAGCTCTGTTGTTCTACGTCGCTTGCTTCTGTCGTTCGAAGCCCTGGCATGAAGGATGACAAAGCCTCGGCTGCCGTTTCCCTTTAGCCCGATCTGAGGCATTAGGCTAAAGATTCAAATCGTTTCAGATTCCTGCCGGGCAGGTGTTGTGGACTTCCATGAGCTCACACAGTCCACCGACGACGAAAAACGGCTTGCAACAAGAGAATTTCAGGCAGCATGGCTTGCATCACAAATCTTGAAGCCACAACATGAGTGCAGCAAAGTCAAGTGAGTCAAGTCATGTGTCCGACGAGGCGCTGTCTGAAAGAAGTCGTTCAAGTTGCGGCGACAGCGAGGGATTGGGAGGTCGTGCTCCCTGTGCGTATTTTTACGTGACCCTTGCTGATTGCTGGAAGTGGAAGGTTGCCTGGCAGTGCATGGACTTGGCTTCGCTGCCAGACGAGGAAGTTGGCTGATCTGCCGACAAGTACGCAGATGCCGCCGAAGCCAGGAGCAGAACGACGCCACCTTACTTCTTGTCGTCGGCTCAGTAGCTTGGGTTTTGAGTGAGTGCATGTGGGTGCCTTACTGTTTGCCTGCCAGGCCATCACCTTGCTGACAGCTGCTATGCAGAATGGCAGCACTGACATGATTGCAATGCGAATTGGGCGGAGAGGCGGAGAGGTACTGTTCATGGTGTTTGGGCTTGAGGTGAGGGCCAGCAGACTCAGGCCCTTGCAGACTTTGTGAGGCGTTGTGCTGAGCCGACACACACCACAACATTGACAGCACGTAACTTCTCCACTGGACTGCGGCTATGGTGGTAGGAGCCACAAAATCAAGCTCCGCACCCTGGAATCTGCTGCTGCTCACTTGGTGTTGTCGTGGAGCCATGTCTCAAGAGCGAACTGAAAGCATCTCCACTGCCTTGCTGTCAGGTTCTTGAGGTGGCCGCTACCTCAGTATCACAGGGGGTGCGAATTGCACAAACGGACTGCAAACCCCTTGCGTCAGGTCGGAAGGATTCCAGTACACATTCCATTGCCTCCGCGTTTCCCACAGGCCGGGTAGGAAAGCATAGTGCATGCGACAGATGAGAGCATTTGTCGAACAGCAGGTCCTCGCCAGCTTGCTAGCCTATCTGTATCCTGCGCAAATGCGGACAACAGGCGCAGTTGTCCCATGCCGCAGCAGTGAACAACATGTGTTGCCGGCCGCCGCCATGTCTTGAGGCTATGGTTGGCTTCGTCCGGGTTGGCCGAGAACCTGGATGGGGTCGCGATGTCATCTTGATCAAAACATATGCAGACAGCTACAGGAAGTTCAATGACTGGATGATCTTTGTGGAAAAAGTCTTGGGCGGCTTGAAGGACTCACTGTCAAGACCAACGCATAGCACAAGGGCGCAAGGTTCAAACGTGGCTGGTTAGGAGATGGAAGCTCTGGCACTTCTCGATGAGACATCGGCACTGGTGAAGGCACTTTGCTTGGATACAGGCCGTGTAGTATTCTGGAGCTTGCAAGGCTTCGGATTCCTTGACCAACGCAGAGTCACGACCTTACGAAGCAGGAACCGGTCCACTGCGTGTGCCTGACTTGACCCGCCGCGGAATCAAAATTCTCGTAGATGCACTACTTGAATTCAGGCTCGAGGACTTCCTGGAGAAAGCCAAGCTCGAGCTCCGAACTGAAGCGAACTCTGTCACTGTAATCTGGCTGCGATCGCCGAGCTCTTCAGGTGTGCGTCCCTGCCCACAAAGCAGACTGTCAGTGCGGAAGCACCACCCTGAGGCTGGCAGCTTCGAGACATGCGCACTTCAAACGTGAAACATTCAATGATGTGCTTATGCGTCGTCCTTTGATCATAACCAAAGCTGTCTACCTGTAGAATCGCCAGTTGCCCGCAGCACATTGGCTCTCGAAAAAACGCAACTACTGTGGCTACCTAAACAGGTCCGCCCAGTATGTTTTGTGGTGCTTGCTGCACCGGCGAGTCCGAGCTAGTCGTGCAAAGCGACAGCGGCTCAAAAGTGCCAATGACACCCATGGTAGCAGCAATGTCTTCGGGACCAGGTCCGGCCCAAAGTCATGAGAGTTTTCTGATTGTCCCGCATGTTCTGAGATTTCAATGTGTCCACGTAACATCATGATTGTCACAATATGCGGATGGAGCTAAGGTGACGAACGCTTCGTGCTGACGCTGCAAGACGTGTCTGCCCTCAAATCTTTGGACCTGGACCTGTCAGACAACAAGTGCGTGATCTTCGCTTCTTGTGATGGCGCAGCAGCCGAGTGGAACAAGCAGAGCTTGGTGCAGGTGTTCCCTTATGATCGAATCATCGAGATCAACGGCCAGCCCTGCTTAGCCACTGATCTGGTGGAAAAGAGCAAGTCAGAGGATGTGGGCACCGTGAACTTGACAGTCGAGCGGCCGCAGAAGCGCCTCCTCTACTTGCAGAAACCTGGGAGGCTAGGCATGGATTTGACGTACACCAAAACCCGAAAGGGCTCCGTGAAGCCGTGGATCACCAACATTTCCGACGGCCTCGTGAATCAGTGGAATGTCAACATGCCAGAGCTTTCCGTTGGCCCACATGATCGCATCATCACAGTGAATGGAAGTGGTGGAACACCTGCCGACTTGGTGCAGCTCCTCAGCTCCGCAGATGACACTATGCACTTGGAGGTTCTGCACTACAACTTCTGAGTGCAGAAACAGAAAGGCGTTGATTTTCCTTAGATCTGCGGCACGACGACGCGATGCCTCAGGCATTGTCTGTGGTGTGTTTCACCGACCCTTCACCTTTCAAGTCCCCTTTGATCCGACAGAACTCGGAGGCGACGGATTAGGCAAAAAGATGCATGCAATGAAGGCTTTGCCCCCTTTCGACCTTCGGTGCTTTGCAGACCTCGTCCGCAGGACGGCAACGTGGAGAGTGGTCTGACCTTTGTTTCTGTGTCCAGAGCCACAATGTACAGCGCACCTGGGCGAGAAAGCGCAGGTGAAGGAGGTCTGCTGTCTGCTGTAACACCTGACACAAGCTTGCACACCATCTTGGTTTCTTGGTCCAAGGTTGGCACAAAGCTGTCGACGAAGTGTTAACCTGGTTACAAGCTAAGCTTGCATACATACGCCCGCAATCCTAGGCATGGGTACAGTTGCAAGACCAAGCAGTCAACCCCGAGACCCGAACATTTATGGATTTCTGGTGTTTGAGCTGTCCATCTTGTCGCGATGACTGCCGAAGATCAACTCCGTCAGGAGTGTTGGGCTCTGGGCTAAAATCGGACGGCGGTTTTTTGCGATTTGCAATAGCCGGACCATTCTGAAAGCTCACCTGGCTGTAGAGCGCAGTGCGCCCTGTCAACTGCCAGAACCATGCTGCTCTTCAGGATCTTGAGGCAGAAATAGCAGCGCGGCAGGCTTCCAGAAGGGTTTCAGATTGCGAAATGATGACATTCGTGATCGTTTCGTGCAGGAACTCGAAAGTGCCTTGCAGAAGGCGGCCGAATACGGTACCCGCCCTCAGGAGGCCTGGGCACTTGCCCTTAGCATCGCCAGCTGACTGAGGTCAAGACCTGCTGGCACAAGTTCAGGACACTCGTCATGTGGCAGTAGTAGTGATAGCAGACCTGTGCCCTACGAGGAGCATGAACGCACCATCCAAGAGTATCGGGAGAAGGCCTTGCACGGGTCAGGAGACAGGAGACGGCCAGCTTTTCAATGTGCACTCTTCAGGAGCGAGCTGTGGAGCCAGACTCGTTCAAGAGTCAGGCCACTAGCATGCAGTTCTCATCACGATCTTTTTCTCATGGAGCGGTTGGACAGTTTGTTGGAAGGCACAGCGCCGGCAGCCTGAAGCTTAGACTTCGACTGCACCTTTCTGAGGTAATGCTGCAGGGTTACGTGGGGCTTGAGGGAACGCAAGCAAGATCGTGCAGCTATGGTTTTTGCCCGGGGAGCCGGGCTCCTCCACAACTTTCCAGATCGAGCCTCTAGTTGCTAGCAAACACGGCGCGAAAGCTTTAAGCCCTGGGTCGCCACAGGGGCATCGGTGAATTCTGGAATTAGTCGAGCCTGTTCAATCGAAGCAGCTGCAAGGTCGACGGCCCGCATGGTGCTTGGATTTCTCGACGGTCTGTACGAGAGTCGATGAGAGTCGGTTCGGTTCGCGGTGGTCATACCAGCTGTGCAAGGTCGTGCAAGCACGATCTCTTTCCCTCGAACTCACGTTTCCAATGGGGACGGGGAAGACAGCGTCACTCGCACCGGCAGCATGCCTCGCGGGGCTGACTGTGTTTACACGCTGAGTTTCAAAGATGTTGTCCCAACTTGCGCATGGCAGGTCGAGTCGGCTTCTTGCCAGGTAGTCCCGATAGCGATGATGAGGATGGGGGAGTGGAGGGGTGACAGATGAACAATACGGCCATTGAATGTGAACAGGTGCAGGAGCCCAAAGCAAGGCCAGCCAAAGCCGTGCCTCGACGTGGCCGTGGCGGTCAGACCATGGTGGTGATGCGCTCGGCAACGATAGGCTGCTAGAAAAGCCTCAGAGCTGGCACGCTCGTTGAGCTGTGACAGTGATCAGCGGGGTGAAGGTGGAAGACCTCATGCAGCAGAACCAATCGACAGAGCCTTATCGCCAATGGCGCACGACTGACACGACGACCAGATGCTCACACGCTGGCACAAAGCAATTGACTGCGGCAAAGGCTGGAAGAGGACCTGCGACGGCTGCAGGTAAACTACCAGAAGCTGCAGGAGTGGAGTTAGACGCCAATACGCCACGATTAGGTCCACAGACATGTAGGATCAAGACGACTCAGAGGAAGACGAAGAGGATGAAGGCTTGGACCAACTCTTCAGGTTCTTATGTTCGCTTGTCCAAGACATCATGCACCCGCAGGATCTGAAAGGAAACCCAAAAGAAAATCCAGGAAATGCAGTTCGATCAGAGACGTCGTCAGATTCCCACAGTGTTGGTTCAGTTTTCTTGACGATTGTCGCAAGACCTGCTTGCTGTCCGCCAAGGATGAAGTGGTTCCAGACGAAGAAGTGTCCGATCCAGATCTACAACAGCAGGCGGATGCCGCTGTCTTAGGTATCCTTACACGACCTCTTCGGAGAAATATGCACATAGTGAGCGCTGCGACTAAGGAGATTGAAGAACTACGGCAAGCTTTGCGTACAGCACAGAAGGAGGCTGCCAAGCAGCTGCAGACACTGGAAGACTGACACCCAGATTTGTGTACCCTCAAAACACTGTGAATCTCAATATCCCCCGCCAGCTGCTTTAGCATTATAACTGAGGCAGAAGTAGAGTCAAAAAAGCAGGAGGTTGAGGAAAGAAGAGCTGCAGAGCAGGCTCAGCCGTGTCCGGGTCCAAGTTTTATAGACAGAACTTGGTTGTGCCTCAGGTGGCAAAGTCAAACGCTGCACAAAGCGAAAGCAAGTGCAAGGCCAGCCGGATCTTGAAAGGCAGTGGGGCTTGGAGACCGTGTAGTGTGAAGGTTCTGCAAGAAAGGCTACAAGTTATGGCGGAGGAAAACGACAAGACGGCCTGCAGCCGAGCAGATGCTAGGAATGTGCAGGGGAAGTCTCCCATCTCACAAGGGTATCGCTGAGCCCAAGGAGAGGGAGTTGCAAGTCGCCAAAGCCAAACAGACTTGGCCTCAATCATCGATTTCAGATTTCACCACTGCGATTGGAAGACAAGCCACTGTTAGGCGGGACTTGACCTTCCAGCTGGAAGAGCAGGCCTTGAGAAACAAGGCTGCCCGTTGCGGAGGGCGAACTGCACGCAGCTCCAGGAAGACTAGTGCAGATGTTGTGAAAGGGTCGGAGGATTGGGAGGTAGCGCATCTGTCGGAATTCCAGATTTGCTTGCACTGAGCTTCCATTAATAGTGCCTGTAACGAGGCCAGGAACCAGCGAAAATGGATGCCCACCGCCTGCGAGGAAGCATTACGCCTCTGACTCAGCCGATGTACTCATATAATTATCGATGTGGAATCTGTCCTGCATCCGCAAGCTTGTTTACTTGTGCCGAGACAGTGCGGCAGAACGAGCATCTCTGGCGGACGAGCCCGGGAGACCAAGACCCAAAGCTGGCACTTGCAGTTCGAGGGCATAGGAGATTCTGTTGGCTTTGCCAAGGTTCCAGAACATGGATGACGAATCTGAGGTCGTAGACGAGTTGCAACCTCAGACCGGAAGCTGCCAGCTTGCTTGAAAAGCTGTTTTTTCACATGGGAAAAGCATCACAGCAAAACTAGATGAAAATCCAAACAGTCATGTTCATCAGTTCAAGTTCGGCCTCAGCAGACTCTGTGAGGGAGCAGATCCGTTTCGATTAGTTTGTGCGAAAAGCATTGACCAGATCCAAAGAGATGGAGGAGGTGGATGGTGAAGAAGGCGCCGTGCCATGCCAAGTGTGCGTGTTGTCTGTTTGGGGCCAGAGTGACCGGTTGCGCATCGAGAGGAGACACAGAGGAAGATACGCAGGGCAAGGCAAGCCTGTCGCAGTCATCATCGCCAGATACTGTACTCGTAGCCAGGACGAGCTCTGCTTTAGAGTTAAGAAAGGAGTCCTTGTGTTTGGTACGAGTAGCTCGGTCTCAGTGCTCCCGCATTCGGTTAGTAATCTCGCCAATGGGAATGGTCACACCACGAGGAGTCATTCTGCGCCTGGTTGCAGGTCGACGCTTCGATTGAAGTACAAAGCCTGAGAGAGGAGCTCGCAGCAGCGAAGGCGATGGTCCGTCCATGGCCGTGCCCTCTTCTTTTGTCTCCGTCTATGAAAGCGGACTGTGTTGGCACTGCTCAAGGCGGCTCTCAAGCTGGAGCCTTCCCAACCGCCGTGCCAGGCCGATGCTGAATCTTCCAAGGAGGTTGCCACTCTTCTCCAGCAAGAATCCGAGGAAGCCAAGGCATGGGCACTTGCTGAAGGGCAGCCAATCTCTTGCCCGATGCGCCAGCGAGACCCTTCAACTTTTGTGGCTGGCGAGTGTCGCACAAGCTGCAGACGACTGCCGGATCCTGCCCACTTTGGCCCGACAAACACGTACCAACACTTGAGCACTCTCTCCATCTGTGCGTGAAAACGAGCCTGTCCTGGAGATACAGGATATCGCGACTTCTCGAGTTTTTGTGGTGAAGCACACTTGTGTGCGCAGTAACAGCCGTGAACGGCGTAGCTGCCTTTAGCACTCTGGCTCGACGCGTCCTTACGCCTTCAGCTTTTAAGTCTAGATCCTACCGTGCCTTCGGCGATCATGGCCTCCCCTCTCAGCGACGCCTCTGCGGTGGCAGCCCAGCTGGTAGCAGCTGTGGCGGCGGCACGGCGCATGGGGTATGTGCCGGTGGTTGGCCTCATGACGGCGGACCAGATCGCTGACCTCAGCGACGCTGCGCAAGCTGCGCACCAGGTTTTGGATGGCATGGCATCTGGATCGACGACGGGTGGACCGGCGGCACGGGCAGCATGCCATTCGTGCCGACGCCCATCCCAGAAGGCGACGAAGAAGCTGACGACGTCGTGGTGATGGAGCAGCCTGTGGTGGTTGGTGCGGCGGAGGTTGGGTCCCCGCCCGTTGGGTCTCCCACGGCGGTGGCACCCACTCCGATGGCGACAGCACCCACACCATCGGGAAGATCAACGCCGGCCGCCACCGGAAGACCTGGCTCCGTTGCCTTCATCGCCGGCCTCTGTGCCTGCATCGGGGACCACCATCCCAGCGGCGCCCTCGGACTATTTCATCGACGCTGCCACCAGGGCCAAGGCGGCATCGCTTCTTGCATCCAGGGCAGACACCTGGCAGGTCGCGGCGCTTACTTCAATGCCATCTTCTGGGACGGCGACCCCTGCACGCTCGGCGGCACGGGGGCCCCCCAACGCCAAGGAGATCTTTGCGGCGTTGAACTTCCAAGCCACAGCGGCGCAGGACCGTCCTGGTACCTCCTCGGCGTCTGCTGGTCGACGCCCCTTCTTAAAAGGATTTTCGTGGCATCCGTCCCTTTTCTCAGGGCTTCTGTTCTTTTTTGTTTTTGTTATGCATGGCACTGCACATGAAATTGATCATCCTGATTTGACACCTGATCTTGTGTGTTTCACAACGAGTGAAAGAAAAACCTTTGAAATCAAGCACACAAAGAAGATGGATTCCGGATTTGGATACACACATCAAAAGGAAATCGTTTTCCGAAAAGCGAAACTCAACCGAAGCAGATGGATTTTACATGGATATGTTTCGAAGAGAAAACTCTGCTTTGGACCCCTGAGGGTCGTTTGTTTTCCAAAGCAATGAAAAGGGGGTGGCTTTAGCACGGGGCATTGATGTAGGGGGTTGGGAGTTTCAGTGGCTTGTGGTTCCCAAATCCAATATCCCGAAATAAAACCCGTAAACCTTTGCTGGGATGCCCTAAAACGCTGAATCCTCGGCCCTAAATCGTCTAGACCCCTTAAATAAGTTCCGCCCTAAGCTCTCTAAGCCCTTTAAAAAACTCTAAGCCCTTTAAAACCAGAGCCTTAGACCCTTAGACCATATGTGATTTGTAAGTTCGAAACCCTAATTACTTAAATCCTTTTCATAACACCCACATAAGCCCTGCGCCACACCACCCCTAAGCCCTAATACTCACCAAACTCCCCCGTCTCGCCATCGACTCGTGATCTTTGACTCAACATCTACGAGCACTTCGGCAAGGACGGGGTTCGTTCAGGGTTGGCTGCTGCGTGGCTCTGAGAGAGAGCCACCAGCAGCAGGGGTGCTGAGAGAGCATCCCGGTGCTGAGAGAGCACCGAAAATGGGGGCACTGAGAGAGTGTCCCGGCCCTGCGAGAGGGCCGAACAGGGCACTGAGAGAGTGCCCCGGCCCTGAGAGAGGGCCAAAATCACGGGGGCACTGAGAGAGTGCCCCGGCCCTGAGAGAGGGCCAAAACTACGGGGCACTGAGAGAGTGCCCCAATCCCTTCCCCACCCACCCTCCCCACCTCCCCAGCCCCACTCAACCCACCCCCCACCCACCGACCCACCACCAACCACACACGCACACACTTACCCACCGACCCACACCACCAACCACACAGACACACAGACACACACACACACACAGACAGACACACACACACAGACACACACACAGACACACACAGACACACACAGACACACACACACACAGACACAGCACACTTACCCCACCCCACACCCCATGCCACCCCACCCACCCCAGACATCCCACCGACCCACCCACCACCCACCCATCGACCACACACGTGCACACACACACACACAGACACACACACACACACAGACACACACACACACACACACACACAGACACACACACACACACACACACACACCCCAGACACCCCACCGACCCACCCACCACCCACCCATCGACCACACACGTGCACACACACACACACAGACACACACACACACAGACACACACAGACACACACACACACACACACACAGACACACACACACACACACAGACAGACAGACACAGCGACACACACACACACACTTGCACACACTTGCACACGCGCAGTTCTCGACGAAAGCACGGCTCCTCGCAGGACAACACAGTCGTCCCGTCGATGAGGATGAGTGCCGGCCTCAGTCGAGTGGCAATCGTTGTCCCTTTGTCAGTGCCAACTCTGAGTGCTGGACTTTACGTAGGAAGGATTTTCTAGCCTGCCACATATCTGCATGTCGGTCGTATACAAACATATGCACTGTACTCGAGCACAGCAGTCACAGCATTAGACTTTTTGTGCGCATCAATCAGAATCATTGGGTGTCGTCGGGGTGCGCGGCTGCGGACTCTTCACCTGCCCCAGGTGCAGAAAGGGTGGAGGGTAGTTTAATGGAGGAATGAAGAAACGGCCTCATTCGGCGTCATCGGTGGAGGCCGTGGTAGCATGGCCTGGTCATGATGTGATCTAGAATCCCTCGAACATGGTAATGGGCGGGTTGTAAGAAACTGTGCCTCGGCTGGAAGCACCGATGTGTCCACTGCCTGTAGCTGCGAAAGAACAATATTAAAACCATGATTAAACCGGAATCCCTCGGGCTGGTACCGTCACAGGAGTTGCCGGCGCTGGCACCTGTGCTCTCATGTGAATCCAATGCACGTAGATCCAAAAAGAATGCGTTGCACCGGGTTCAAGACCTCTGCCACCAAGGGTGTTCGCGGGGCGGGGACCTGACAATAAACATGGTGGATGCACATAGAATGAATCGCAGCCCACAGGGTTTGCAGCCTTTGCCGCTGGCGGACTCATTGGCCTGAAAGCCTGACAGAATGGGCAAGGGACAACGAACATGGATCCCTGTGGAATGAATCACACTGGGTTCAAGACCTCATAAAAATCATCCAGCGGGGTCGGGGTCTTTGGCACGGGTACCTGACACAATGATGTGCATTTGGGAAATTTGGCCACAGTGGGTTCCCAGCCTCTGGAGCTGGAGTCTTTGGCAACGGCACCTGACATAATCATGGTTGCAAGGCTGGGGAAGGGGCTCGCTGCGACGCTTCATCCACTCGATGCGGTTTTCTTGAGTCTGGGGCTGTCGTCACCGGAATCGGAGGAGACTTGCTTGTCGGCTCCAATCGCTTTTTCTTCGCGGGGGGAGCCTTCGGTTTTGAAGCATGGTATCCACTTCTCCAAACAAGGGTCCGGGGAGTGCAAAAATTGTCGGGCCTGTGCCGAAGACCCACTGGATTTCTTGGCCACGGCAACCTGTCGGGGGCATCAAAGTCTGTGTGTCTATGGGTAAACCCGTCCATGTGATGTCCTCCGTTTCCTCTTTAGCTCGGACAGGACCAGGAGTCGCCTGCAGGAAGAAGGGATGGGATGGCTGGGACAGTCCAAAATAGACGAGCCACAGCTACAGAGGAACAGCAGCTTCTTGAAGTGGGCCTTTGGCAGAGGGGGAGGCCAAGCCTCCACAGGCACCCCCGCGGGCAATGGGGACACCTGCAGAGCCAAATGTGTGCAGCACAAAGGGCATAATTGCAGAAACCTGATTCCAGCCACTGTCACAAAGCAGGCATGCCTTCTTGGCCTCTGCCGGCGCCGAGCAGGCCTTCGTCGCAGTCACGCTCTGCACCTTCCAAGAAATGAGATACGAACAGAACTCTAGCATCATCTAAATCACCTCGGCTTCGGCCGTCGCACTTGCCTCAGATCTAGAAGGCTCAGTCTGGGCTTTCAATGAGGCGAAAGACCTCGCCTTGGTCTGGATTCCCCCACTGGAGACAGGCACCTGCACACACACAATGGCATCTGTAGCGAAATCAAGAGTGGAGGTGCAGGTGACGCAGGATGTGCTGGGCTTCGGGCAGCACTTTGCCCCGGCAACCGTAGGGGTATCCCCGTGGCTCGGGTTGTCTGTCCAAAAACCAGGGGCTCCGGAATCGGCTGAACCGGTGGTGCGGGGACCTGTGCCAGTAGTTACTCCAGTCTCCCATACTGTGGCATAAGTCATAAGACCAGAAGTACTACGAGCTTCTGCCTCATTGTATGTCTTCTCGAAGGCAGAACACAGCAGCTTGTAGCGATCCTGACAAAGGAAACATTAAGACCAATCGTGCGAGGATTAAGGCTCACAGCCTTCTCGGCTGTCAACTCCTCGATGACCTTGTCTCTCTTCGCCTGCAAAATGGCAGCTGGAGCGAGACTCCTAAGACCAATCATGCGAGGAATAAGGCTCACAGCCTTCTCGGCTGTCAAGTCCTGGATGACCTTGTCTTTCTTCGCCTGCAAAATGGCAGCTGGAGCGAGACTCCTAAGACCAATCGTGCGAGGATTAAGGCTCGCAGCCTTCTCCGCTGTCAACTCCTCGATGACCTTGTCTGTCTTCGCCTGCACAATGGCAGCTGGAGTGAGACTCCAAACCAACAACACCGTTATACTCCATCCCATCCTGCCTTGTACTTGCTGTGGTCGGCTCGGATGGCGGTGTTCTCCTCGGTCTTTCTTTTCAAGTCGAACTCCGCGGCATTCCCTTGTCTCTTGAGGGCCGCTGTGTCCAACTGTGCGGACTCCAACCGTTTCTCGCATTGTTTAAGTTTGCCAGAGAGCTCCTCTTTCTGCGACCGGAGCTCACACATCTTCTGCTCCAGATCCAGCTTCTGCCGCATAGCCTTGTCTACGTCATTGAGCAAGCGGCTGTTCCTCCCCTGCTCCTCTCGCAGCTTCTCCTGTTCCTGCTTGAGCTCAGTCTGGAGGTTCTCCATGTCTGTCTGCAAGAGGTCCGTGGTGATTTCGAGTGACCACAACTCGAACTGGAGCTCTTGCAAAGCGGCGGCGCTCCTTTCCGCCTCGTGTTCTGCCACCATCATCCGACGGTGGTCCGAGTTCCACCTCTCGAAATCCCGCCGGTCCCTGGCATTACGGTTGTCAGCCTTGGCCTTAGGCTTTGCCTTTGCTTTTGGCGCCTGCTTGGCCTTAGCCTTCGGTCTTGAAGACATGACAGCCGGCTCGCTTGCTCTGGCACCGCCGTCGCCGCCCCAAGCATCATTTTGCCCTCCAGCATGGTCCTGCCACTGCCTGTCTGACCAGGCAGGACGGGTGTCCTGAGCCGCCTCAGCCTCCCATGTTCTCCAGGACCAGCCAGACCACTCACCCATGGTTGCTTGCAAACAAGCAACTATCAATGCATGACGATTTATTGTCGCTCGTAGACGTACCATGCATATTGGGTTGTACATAGGCCTGGCTGGCACTTGGATATGTGACATGCATGATGGTTGATGTCACCCTGGGCAATGCGAAGTATCATGCAAGCTATGTTCGTTGTCACGACTCAGACTCTGCAAAGCCTTCGAAAACTCGGCCTTGAAATGAGCCTTGAATCCATTTTGTGGACACAGCGCAGTCACATGTCATGGGCACGCTGACTTCAAAGCAAGCATACAAGATTCGAGATGAAACCGGCGTGCCTGTGTGACAAGGTCAGTGCCACACCGAGGAGGCCT